ATAATATAATGGATTCGCTATTCAACAATACTAAATTTGTGATATTCAGCATTTTTATTTGATTTATATAGGGCACGGAGATTGTGAAATTTTTATAAATTATTATTATCAATATTAAATAATTAAAACATTAAATCATTATATAATTAAATAGCCTAGATTAGTCTTACTTTATTAAACGTTTATTATTAAATAATAATATTATTAAAGTTCTAACGTTCTATATATAGACATAAATAGCATTTGTATAAATTTAAACGCTATTAAATACTTATGAAAATATAATTATAAATATGATAAAATATTTTGTAATTGCTTTTATCGTCTTGATTAGCAACGAAAAAATTCAAATTATATAATATTTCGAATACAAATGTTATTGCTTAAATATCGGTCAATAAAAAAAAAATGAACTGTTTGGTAATATTGAATTCTCCATAATTATGGGTCTAAAGAGCATATGTGTTTACATTCATAAAAATTTACTTACATAGATGTTTCGGTAAGCAGATATAGATTGAAAATCGGGGCAAGTTTTTGGCTTGGAAGTAACCGTTAAGTTTGAGTAATCATGAGTAAAAGAGATAATATTTCGATTAAAGTTCAGTGCAAATTTCTCACGTAGACCTCGTTCAATTATACTCACGAGGATCATCGGTAAAAGTTGCGATAATAAATAAAAGAACAAATATGAAAATATACGTTAGTGTGCGTGCTTACATAGATTCGTATATAAGTTCAACACAAATGTGTACGTAAATTGGTGTAATTAACTATTATATGGTTATTAAAATCAGAACAAAAGCAATTATAAAAATTCGAAGTTTTTTCTATGAAATATCATTGGAGTAGTTGAATTAACGGAATAAATAGGAAGTATGGTAAATTAAAAATTAATTATTCTTATTTTATTTTAATTGATTAGTAAAATGATTTCAAAATTATTATCTCCCTATTTATATTTAGTTTATTTTAATAATTATCGGGATATTTATCAAATTGTAAATATATATATAACAACCTACATGCGACAATCGATTCAATATAAGAAATTGCAAAATATCATTTAAAACGTGATAATCTGATAATGATAAAAAATGATCTGCTTGACAATCTTTGGTAGAATAACATAAACTTGAAATGCAATTTATATCCTTTAATTTATAATATATGTATATGTATATATGTATATATGTTTATTATTTGATATAATAAATGAAATTAAATTTTTACGTGGTACTTTTGAGATAGTTGTATGCTTCAGTCTATAAATAATTAATTATTGCTTCGAGCGAGCTAGTTAGTTCTTGATCAGATTCATAAGTATTTCAAATTATTATTATGTATTTTTAATGAAAATTATTATATTATAATATGACTATTTGCACAATTTAAATATTTACTATAATTTTCATTTGATTTAAAGAATATTTGACAAATTTACTTGCGTTCAACTAGTGTAAGATAAACAGAAAGTAAATGAAATTCCGAGGTAAAATTCATTATTGTTCGTTAATTTATTCATTAATTTATTCATTAAATTATTCATTTAATTAATCAATAAATGTATATATATATATATATATATATATATATATATATATATATATATATATATATATATATATATATATATATATTTATTTTATATATATATATATATATATATATATATATATATATATATATATATATATATATAGTTAATAAATAGCCGTAGAAGTAGTGGTTCCTATGTAATACTCCAAACAAAAGTAAACATTTTGTATTCATAACTATTCATTCGCAAATACTTTTAATAATAATATGATATGCGAATATTGGCACATGTTTGATCATTGCGATTTAATTATATGCTCCCTTAAAGTTTAAAAAGTCGCATAAACTATTAAAATTCAATATAATCAAAAAATACATTAAAGGCGCACTCAACGCCCTAGTTTAAAAGTAAAATTTGAATACGCTTAAAGAAAATGAGCAATCCTCACTTATCACAATTTAAGGGCATTCACACCCCGTCCATTTGTACAACCACTTGACCTCGACTGTCACCACATATCCTTCCAAATACTTACTCCGCAAGACGAGATTCGTGTTATTCCACTTTCTTCTTCTTTCAATGTGCGTCTTTCACTTGATCTTAAGTCAAGAAGCTCATTTGTCATAGGATTCATCATCTTAGCAGACGACGACCTTATGCATCCGAGTATAAGATACGAATAAAAAGTGTAGAGTAAAGAATATAAAAGAATGAAATGAATAGAGAAATATGTGAAAGAAATAGCGTTTGTCATTTATTATATCACGCAATGCGAAATCCGACATACGGTGTAGTTAAAAATGCGAGAAGAAAATTATTAAACCTTATATATACATATATATATATATATATATATATATATATATGCAATATTAATATGTTTACCCGTACATGATTAAATTTTTATTAATACTACAGATATTCTTAATGGATTTTAATAAGTGTGACGTATTAGATGAATAATTATATTTATTATATATAATTATAATAGCTATATGATATATAGCTAT